GAATGAAAACTGACAAAGCATGTTCAAGATGCCACATTTCCAAAAAAACAAGATGGCTGCCAGTCCGCCATTTTGAATCGTATCGCTAACCATTGCATGTCCATATGTCCCATATAAAGTACTAGGCACATGCAAAGAATGAACAGAATCGGTCCAAAGGATTCTGAAATATGACTCCGGACAGACGTAGACTGAATTATAAGTCCCCGTTTTCGGACTTTGTCCGAATGGGGACTAATAAATAAATTGTGGATGAATATATACACAATCAATACCAGTATCACAAACATCACTACATAGATCACACTAACCAGCTAGGACTTTTTCCTGAGTTGTTATGCCACAGACGAACTGACTTCAGGTCACCTAAATATTCCTGAGTTGTAAGTAAAAAGATATCAGTCCCAGCACGTTGAAGAAGTTGCCTTTTTGATGTGTTTGGGTTCAATACATGGGGTTGACTACTTTGCCATGATCCATTCAAGGTGAGGGTTACAATGGCTGAGGAACCAGCACCTTGACGAACACCAGTAAATACTGTGACACGGTAGCTATACTCTGCCAGAGGATCATTATCATCTAAAGGTATTACTTCAGTCTGAAAACAAAAGTGGTTCTTGAGCTTGTTTTTTCAAATATAGCAAGACAAATGTAAAAGTTGAACAATTATGCAAAATGAGGTGAATAATATTTACAAAGTAAATGAAAATTCTATTACTATCGATGAGTATGTATACAAACTGCTATCAAAATGTGATGAATGATTCACAAAGATAGCATTACAACTTTTTTGTATCACTCTGTATACATGTACATGTAAGAGAGTTAATCAAACCTGCCTTGAGTATGTCTCTTCCATCTCGTCTCCTTGCCCATATAGCACACAGCAGATAGACAACAAAGATTGCTGCCACAGTAGATACCATAATAGGATTATCAATAAAAGTAGCAAACAACATGATGTCTTCTGTTACATCTATTATGTATGGGGCTACAATGACACGACCAGCAAAGAACGACAAATGGTTACATTCACAATGTAAATCTACAATTGTAGACGAGGATGATACCTGTGGAGAAAGAAATCATGCCAGGCATTTACCTTCCAGTGAAATATGAAGACATAAGAACGTATTTCCACAGGCTCTCAGTTAGTTTAGATAAAACCAAAATAATTGTTTAATAAGAGAAACCGCATTATTAACGATAATATTTATTATGGTGGTTCAGAAGTTGAAAACTAATTATGTAAATCAGGTACCTGATATGAACAGATTTGAGTGTAAAACTAATAAGACCTGCGTAATGTAATATCTATGTACCAAAAAAACTATGAATTATTATTTTTTAAAACTAGCGCCGAAGGCGCATATTAGTTTTTATGTTTATATAAGAGATTGCATACTTACCTTTGGTTAATGAAATTTTAATTTCATAAACAAATGGGATAATTGCCAATTATCATATATACTGGTTAAATAAAATCGAAATAACAGTGGATAGCTCCCGTAGGGGGCGTCCTTCCCCTGTCATCTGATTTGCATACTTCCAGATCTTTTTGACCACGATATTGATTCGTAGCTATT